CGAGCTCCCGAAGGTGTCCCAGGACTTCAATGCAATTGAGAATGCTTGGGCAATCTTACGGGAGCGCCTAGACGAGACGTGCCCCGTTGAGTTGGAGCCCAGAGATCAGTTCGTGAAACGACTTCGAGCGGCAGTGCGGTGGGCCAACGCACAGGTCAGATCAGTTGTGGTACTTGTCCACCAACCAGAGGGGGAGGGCAGAGGACTGCCTGCGGTCGAACCCGCCCAAATCTCGCACGACGTGGTACATACGCGTCGCAGTATTAGAGGAATGTTGTGCGTGCCGATGTGGAGCATGGAAAACACGTGACAGTGACACGACGTGCGCTGGCGGCGGTCAACCCGCTGGATTAAAAAAGTTGGGACGGCGGGGTTCGAGAGAGAGAGAGACGCTGTTGGCCACCCGTTAGGGCATGGGGCCCAGGACAATGTTGGATTTGATGCCGAATTGGGAGTTTCAGACGCATACCTCACCCCCTCAATATTATAAAGGCCAAATGGGGCCGGCGTCTGAAAGTGGCATTCCGCCTAGGACGTCCTCGAAAAAGTTTTCGATCGCCTTCCAAGGCGATCTGAAATTCTCCCATGCCGTCTGAAAGTGGCGATTTCGCCTAGGACTTCCTCACAAAAAGTTTCAGATCGATGTTCATGCCGCCTGAGAGTGGTCGTTTCGCTTAAGACGTCCTCAAACAGCACTTTCAAGTTGCCTTCCATGCCGCCAGCAGACAAAGATTTCGTGTGCGATGATTTCCATAACTTTGTGCTGCAGAGCTCCACGCCCTGCGGAGCCGTTTCGTCATTCGGTTCACGGGCTTGCCTTGGAGTCATCTCGGGGTTCATCGATGGTGGAGGCTCGAGGGCCAGTCGACCGGCGAAACCCGCGGGGATCGCTCTCTCGCATAGTGCCGGTCACAACTTTTTAATCCAGAGGGTGGTAGGCTGATTTCCTATCTGATCTGCCTGCCTCGCGCCGTCGCGGAGCCTGGCCAGTCTGCGGATTGGGCCCAACGTCGGTGCGAGCGCTTGCTTGGCCTGGCCAGGACGGCAGATGGGGCCAGGATCGGCGCCAGTTGCCGGTGGTCCGCACTCTCTCCTCCCCCTGCCCCTCCCGCCTCGCACGAGTGACGCGACACGCGGGTGCAACGACGTCGGCAACAACAAAAACTGCACCAGAAGGAGCATGCAGAACCCGGGCCCGAGCGGGACTGCAAATTGGGCAGAGGGAGCCCGATAGGACGCTCAAGTGCCCGTCGCCGCGCCTGTTTCAGCGCAGATAATCTTAGAAGAAAAAGAAAAAACTCTGCATAAACATAAACTTTTGGCGCTCTGGGCGGATTTTGTTGGATCTTCGCTGGACCCCCCTCCCTGGCGCGCGGTGCGCGCCAGGGGCGGCGCGGAGGCGTGCCGGGGGGGGGGGGGCCAGCGCGGATCCAAGAAATGCGCGCGGAGCGCCACAAGTCTATGTTTATGCCGCTTCTTCTTCTTCTTCTTCTTCTTCTTCTTATTATTATTATTATTACTATACTTATTCTTCTTTTTCTTCTTCTTCTTCGAGGTCTACTTCTTTGAAACCCTTCTCCCGGCTCCCGCTCTTGCCCCTCGCGGCGGCGGCAGCGGGGGCGCCACGGCCGCGCGGCAGCGGAGGCGCACGGGGGGCGCGCCTGCGGCCGCCACGGCGCTGGCGGCGCGGAGCACGCCGGGCGACTGGGCGGGCGACGCACCTCTCGGGGCGACTTGAGGAGGAATTTGATGAGGAGGAGGAGGAATTTGAAGAGGAGGAGGAGGAGGAGGAGGAGGAGGAGGAGGAGGAGGAGGAGGGGGAAGGAGGAGGAGGAATTTGAGGAGGAGGAGGAGGAGGAGGAGGAGGACGGGGGGGGCCGAGCCGCGGGCGTGCCTTTCTTGCCTTCCAGTTGGCGCAAGCCTGGGCAGAGTTCACATCAAAAAATGCAGGGGCTCATGCCCGTGAGCCCCGGCAGGCCGCGCTGCCTACCCACTCTCTGCATGTCTGCTTTCGGTTGCCCCCCCTCCTCCTCCTCCTCCTCCTCCTCCTCCTCCTCCTCCTCCTCCTCCTCCTCCTCTTAATCCCTCCTCCTCCTCCTCTTCCTCCTCCTCCTCCTGCTCCTCCTCCTCCTCCTCCTCCTCCTCCTCCTCCTCATCCTCCCCCTCTTCCTTGCAGTGCAGGCTGTGCTGAGCTTCTTTTCCCGACCAAGCGCCCGACGGCTCATGGCTCTTGCGTTGCGCTGGTGCAAGGCGTTCACACCTACCCATCCAGGTCTCAAATGGCCTTGAAAACCACACACTGCCGCTGCAACCCCATTCTGCCGCCATCGCTTAGGCCACAATTTTTGACTGCACTACATCGAACGTCACTCCTGCTATGTATAATGTGGGGAACCATCCAGAAAATGTGGTACGGTGGCTAGGCCAGCCGATCCGCTGCCGGAGCTTCGCCTGGCTCCGTCCACGCAGAGGCGAATATAGGCTCCTCGGCCGCGGCCCGAGCCAAACGATCCCTTTGGGTTCCCATTGATTATTGTAAGACTTTGGGAGGCCAAATGAGGCCTGTGTGCGAAAGGCAGGCGTGTGGGATCGCTGGGCGTGCGTAAGACATCTAAGTTTGTTTCCTATATGATGTAGTACTTTGGAGCACGCCCAAGCGAAGTTGAAATCATCATTTTGGGTATGAGCATTTGGGGCATGGCCGATTCGGGTAAGCCTCAACGAGAATAAATGGGCAGCCACGGCATAACGGCCATGTTAGAGCATTCGCCCCTCTCGTGGGCTGTCCCTAAAATCCTGTAGTTTCACTGTTGTTTCGGGCCAAGAAGTTTCGCCTGGTTCCAGGCCAGGGGCATTCACAGACAGATCAGACTCGAAAACCGGCGCAGCAAGATGTGGTCTAGGGCTCTGGCCGTGATGCTTTTACATTGTTGCAATTTTCGCTCCGTCGGATCTCAGGAATTGGCGTTTGCTGCTGGGCCTCTTGCGCGCTACCCCAAGGGCCCTGATGGCTTGGCGCGCAAGCTGCGCACTGTCGATCGTGGGGAGCGCACCAGCACCACCAGAGAAGGCCTGCCGCTATTCGCTGATGCCCCTCGGTTGCTGCGAGGTGCGCAGCACAAAAACGTGAAGGGGCAACCCAAACCCTTCTTCCGTCAGCCATGACCATGGTCACCCGCTGAGCGCTGCCTGCCTGCCTGCGTAGTCTTGTCGCTTATGGCAATCCCCAAACAGTCCTCGGACTTAGGGCTTCTTGCTTGCGCTGTCGAGCACTTGGACGGGTACGCCAAAGATTCACCCCGTTGCCGCCCGTTGCCACCTCGTTGGCGCGCCGTTGCCGCCCGCCTCCTGCGCTGTATGCGTCTGGCGAAGAGTGGCCACGTTGCCGACCGTTGCCGCCTCGCTGCCGCCTCGTCGCCGCCTCGTGCGCGCTGTCGCTGTGGCGAGGCTTCGCCACGCTGCCGCCACGTTGCTGCCCGTTGCCGCCTCGTGCGGGCGTGCCGAGGCTTCGCGACGCTGCGGCCCGGTGCCACCCGCTGCCGCCCGTGGGGGCATGTCGAGGGTTCGCCGCGCTGCCCCCCGTGGCCGCCGGGTTGCTGCGTCGTTGCCGCCTTGTGCGCTGTGGGGGCTGTGCCGAAGATTCGCCACGTTGCCGCCCGTTGCCGCCGCGTTGCTGCCTGGTGTGTGTATGTGCCGAGGACTCGCCACGTCGCCGCCCGTGGCCGCCCGTTGCTGCGTCGCTGCCGCCGCGTGGCCGCACCTTTGCCGACTCGTGCGCAGTGTGGGTATTCAGAGGAGTCGCCACGTTGCCGCTCGTGGCCGCCTCGTCACCGCGCCGTTGCCTTACTAGCTTCTGTCAAGGCCACATGACCTGCGGCTTATCTCACACCACATGACTCACACTTCGAAAATGCGGTGGCTCACTGTTTGGGGCCCACGCTGGCGAACATTCCCCAAACAGTGTTTGCCCTTCGGGATTCGTATCTCTGAGGTCACTAAGGAGTCGGATGGGTCTGGCGAGGTTTCCAACGTTGCCCCCCGTGGACACCTCGTGCCCACCTTCTGCGCTGGGTGGGTCTGGCGATGCTTCGCCAAATTGCCGCCAGTGGTCGCCTCGTGGCGCCTCGCGCGCTGGGTAGGTCTGGCGTGGGCTGGGTGGGTCTGGAGAGATTTCCCCACGTTGCCGCCCGTTGCCGCACCGTTGCCGACCCGTCGGCTGGGTAGCTCTGGTGAGGCTTCGTCACGTTGCCGCCCGTGGCAGCCTTGTGCACTGGATAGGTCTGGTGAGGCTTCGTCGCGTCGCCGCCCGTGGCAGCAGGAGGAGTCGGCTTGCGGGGGGGGGTCGGGCGCGCGGGAGGGGGGCGACGAGGCTTCGCTGGGTGGGGCCGACGAGGCGCTGGGTGGGGCCGACGAGGCTACGCCACGGTGCTGCCCGTGGCCACCTCGTGGCCGCCTCGTGCGCAGGGTGGGTCCAGCGAGGTTTCGCCACGCTGCCGCCCGTGGCCTCGTCGCTGCCGCCTCGTGCGCTGGGTGGGTCCAGCGAGGTCTTGTCTCCAGGGCACGGGGTGGGTCTGGAGAGGCTTCGCCACGCTGCTGCCCGTTGCCGCCTCGTTGCCGCCTCGTGGGCCGAGTGGCTCCTGCGAGGCTTCGCCACGTTGCCGCCCATATGGCACCCGCGTTGCTGCCTCGTGCGCCGGGTGGGTCCTGCGAGATTTCTACCAGGATAGTAAGGATGCGCGGTAAGGATGCAAGGGCCTTGGAACGCCATGTTGACGTTTTCCGTGCGGAGCGCAGCAGAATGCCGAAGGATGCCGAATACCGAAGAGGCAAATATGCAAATGTAACATTGGAAAGTTGCCCCATCCTTACCATCATGGTTGACTGTAGGTTGGAACACCATAACCCCATAGCAGGGCATATGTCGACCCGTATCCCAGACATCGTGGGGTTGTCGAATGAAGCAGAAATTTGAGTTCCAACCCTGGGATATACGTTTTTTTTCTCTGTTTTTGGGAATCGACGACGATCTGCGTCTGCGCGTCTTAGCTCCCCCTCCCGACCCAGGAGGAGCGGCGCAGGACGAGTGGCACTCTCTGTCTGTCAGTCCTACGCTGCAAGTCTGAGCGCCGTGATATGCCTCACGTACCGTACGGCACTGTATCATCCAGCTTCTCGGGTGTTCCCCGAGAAGCTGTCCTGCGAACGTGGCCGGAACTGCCGCAGCTGCAGCAGTGAAAATGCCGGCACATGCAGCAGTGAATCGGGCCACTGGAATCAACACCGGTGAAAGAGGCCCTGCAAGAGGCAAATGGTGGCCGACCACCGGCCGTCTCCCCTCAGCCGCGGAACTCGACATTGAGGATGTGGGCAGTCGTCCAGAAGACGAGAATCGACCAACATGCGATGATGATGCGAAAGGCGAGATACGCATCCTTCTCAATGACGCTTATCACGTGAAGGGCAACAAGCTTTTCCATGGGGATGATGGTCTTCTCCTCGTAAGTCAACACCTTCCCGAGGAGGTCCTCCTCCGCGTCGATGACGTGCTCCGCCAGCTCAATGTCCGTGAATACTTTCGAAAATATTGGCTGCGCTTTCCCCACAAAAGCGTCGTCCGCACTGTCCCATTTTCTTACCAGCGAACCACAAAAGCAGCGCGCCGCTTTCGAATTCATGTTCGAGTTCACGGTTGTCATTGTCTCGTTGATCTTGCTTTCAACATGCACCAAGCGATTGAATAGGTTCGTCAGAAACCTCGCCGCAATGAGAAAATCCTTCTGGCTCGCCTTGTTGAGATTCGACACCTCGTTCCTGAACTTGAGGATGGCGTCCGGAACCTTCTCCTCGAGGTCTTTCAGATCCGCCATGAGTGTCTGAAACAGCTTCCAGGTCCCCATGAGGCTGAGCATGAGCATGGCATCTAGCAGGAGGAGAACCCACATGATTGCCAACCGATAGGGCCCAGATATGGCGTTGCTCATCGGCGTGGTATTGGACATATGGCTTACCAAAACCGCGCGGGCACAGATGCAGAGCCCGATCACTGCTGATACGGTGAAGAAGATCATCCACGGAAGGAACTCCACGAAACGCTCCTTGGCCTGCCACGAGATGTTGCAACGGCAGATCTTGTCTGGAAGGTTCTGGCAGATCTCCGTTTGCCAAGACTTTTGATCCAGCATCCGCTTGTTGGTCTTCTCACTCCATTTCAGAACCTTCTGAAACTGCCTCTTCTCTGCCTCGATTGACTTTTCCTCTTCATCGACTTTTTCCGAGGGCGGCGCGTACTGCACTACCAACTGCACCTGCTCGTGCTTCGAGGGATGGTGCCCCATCCTGCCGGGTGCGCTTCGGACCGTGAAGAGAAACAGTTGAGCTCCTATGCTTCAGCAAAACCATCGTGTGCCACGACTTGAGCCGAAATGGCTACGGAACCCTGGGATATACGATTGAGGGGCGTTCATCCTCGATAGTGGTGCGCCCGAATCGCCCCCTTGGGGCGTATCCCAGGGCTTCCCTCTTTTTCTGAGCGGCCATACTTTTCCGGCGAAGCTCGGGGACTGGGGGAGACAAGTCACCTGCGACCCCAGTTCCCTTCCTCAGCCCCAACCCTGACCTTCCAGAGAACTATCTTTTAGCACTGGAGACCGAACAACCTGAAAAGGCGGAGCGAAACGGCCTAAACCCAGGACGTAGAATAGATAGCTTTGGGATAGGTTTTCACGTGGGGTGCTACTTTTTAGCCCTCCTGGAAGGAGGAGGAGGAGGAGGAGGAGGAGGAGGAGTCCTGAGAACCCAGAGGACTCCTGCAGGGGGCCCGGCCCCCCGGCCCTCAAAAGAGCCTTCCTGGGCTCCCCGCGTGCCCCCCCCCCCAGGCAGCCCTCAAAGAAATCCTCCCGGGCTCCCCGCGCGCCCCCCCTCCCCGGCCTCCCCCAAGGGCAAGACCTCGTCGGACGCTTTCTTTTGCCGGGGCCAAGCGGCACAGATGCTGCTGTCGCACGATTGAAGGGGCCCTGAGACACACAAACAAAGACAGACAAACAACAGGATTCCCGATACATGTTCCAATATTTTCTGGGCTTTTTGTCTTCCCCCCCACTTCCCATATTTTCCCATATTTTCCGGGGGATCGACGATTCATTGCGTCTGTGTGTTTTTGTTCCCCTCCTGAATGAATTTGCCTTATGATTTCGTCTCCCCCAAGGCAACATCCTCTTGTCGCAGGATCTAGTCGGGGCCAAGAGGCACGGAGGCACCCAAGGGCTCACCCAGACGGCCCATGGGTGCCCCGAAATCGCTGCACGGTCGGTCCAAGACGCTCAAGGTGGCTCCAGGATGGCCCAAGAAGCCTTCGAGGCGCCCCAAGAAGTGCCCCAAGAGCCTTCCCCAGAGGCCCAAATCAATGATTTTCCATTCGTGTTTCCATGTGTGGGGGGTCCTCGACGTTTCGAGCTTCCGACGCTCCACGACGGCCCAAGAGGCCACCAATACCGCCCCAAGACTGCCCAAGACGCCCCCAAGAGGGCCCCAAGACAGCCCAGGAGGGCCCCAAGACGGCCCCAGAGGCGCCCAAGACGGCCCGCGAGGGACCAAAGACAGCCCCAAGAAGGACCCGAACCGAACACCCGAGTCTTCCGCACCAAGAGGGCCCTCTAGAAAGCCCCATGAGGCCCCCAAGAGGGCCCCAAGACGCCCCAAGATCCTCCAAAATGGCCCCCAGGAGGCATCACAACGGCCCCGAAGAGGTCCTCGAGAGACCCCCCACTCGATCCGCCGCCCCCTGTTGATTCATCACAGGGGTGCCTGGCGTGCTAGATGATCTCGGTTTGGGTTTTGGCTCTTTTCCAAAAGAACTCCCTCCCCCTGGGGCTCCGGCGCGTCCCGCCGGCCACCCGAAAAGACTGCCCAAGATGCCCGGAGCTGGTTGCCCAGGGTGTTTCCGTTCCAGACGGCTCGAAGATGGCCCAAGATGGCCTCCAAGACGCATCCGAGACGGCCAAGATGGCCTCTAAGACGGCTAAGATGGCCCGAAGATGCCTCCAAGACGGCCAAAGATGCACCCAAGACGGCCCAATATAGCCTCAAGATGGTTCAAGACGGCCCAAGAGGCCCCCAAGAGGCTTCCAATATGGCCCAAAAGGCCTCCAAGAGGACCTCTAGGAAGGCCCGTGGAATCCAAAATCAATGAAATTCCATTGATTTTTGAAGGATTTTGGTATTTGTTCCTTTTCGGCCTTCCGACGGTTTAAGACGGCCGCAGAGGCCCCCAAGATCCCCCCAAGATCGCCCACGAGGCCTCCAAGATGGCCCCATGACGGCCCGAGAGGCCCCCAAGACGCCCCCGAGAGGGCCCAAGAGGCCACCAAGACGGCCAAGATAGCCTCCAAGACGGCTGAGATGGCTCCAAGATGCCTCCGAGACGGCCCAAGATGCATCCAAGACGGCCTAAGATGGCCTCAAGATGGCCCAAAATGGCCCAAGAGGCCCCAAAGAGGCCTCCAAGACGGCCCAAGAGGCCTCCAAGAGATCCTCTAGGAGGGCCCGAAGATAATTATCCCGGCAAAGCAACCTAACAGCGATATGTAGTAGCATAGCTGGAGGCATGCAGCAGCAGTAACACTCGCAGTAGTATTAGCAATAAGAGCAGGAAAGATGAAACAGTGGTAACAGTGAAGTAGTAGTTGTAGTTCGGAGTCCTGTAAAAAGGAGACACTGCTATCAACGCTGGAAATGTGTCAAAACGAGACACTGCTATGAATGGCGGCAGTCGTGTAAAAAGGAGACACTGCTATCAACGCTCGCAGTGTGTCAAAACGAAACTTCGCTGTGAATGGTGGGAGTCGTGTAAAAAGGAGACACTGCTATCAACGCTGGAAGTGTGTCAAAACGAGACATTGCTATCAACAGTGCGAGTCGTGTAAAAACGGGACACTGCTATCAACGCTGGCAATGAATGATGATGATGAGTGCGATGATGAGTGCGACGATGAGATGATGACTGTTCTTTTTTTCAGAGGACCGCGCTGAGGAGCGGCGTGCGAAGCGGAGAAGCTGCAAAGCGTGCAGGCTGAAAAGCATTGCAGACACGCGCAGGCTGAAAAGCATTCCGCGACACGTGCAGGCTCACCGCGCACAGCTGCACACGAGCGCAGGCTGAGAAGCACCACGCGCATGCAGGCTGAGAAGCACCACGCGAATGCAGACGGACAGACTGAACAGCACCGCCACAACGCAACCTGCATCTCATGGCTCCTCAAGCTCGCGCAGGCCATCCCAGTTGCTGTCGGGCCTTCGCGCAAGCGATCTTCGTCGCGGCAATCTTGTCCGTGAAGAGCTCGGCGAAGGCCTTGGCGATCTGTTCCGGGGGGCCGGATTCGATGATGCTCCGGTCAGGCAAGCCGTGGCTCAAGAGTTGGTTGAAGCTTCTGGGGCGCGACAGGCTGACGTAGTAGGCAAGCCAAATGGACTCCTTCTTGAGTCCTGGCGGAAACGTCCAGTGCACGATGAAGCCTGGGTCCGTCGTCTTGCCCTGGACGCCATGCAGAGTCCCCTGCTTTTTGGGCAGCACGGTCAACTGCGTCCTGGACACCGCGATGGCCGGGCCACCTGTCTTCGCTTTGAACTTCCAGGGGCGCGCCTGCGGGGTGATCGCGAGCACTCCGCGCAGGTCGGGGCCGGCAGGCTGAGAAGCACTGCCAGCTGTCACCGGCGCGGCCTTCAAGAAAAGTTCATCGCTGTCATCGATCTTGACATAGACGGCCTTTGGCATGTAGTAGAGTACGACCACACCGTCCGAGACAATGGACGGGCGGCCCTCCACCGGAGGCTCCAGAACGTGCAGCTCTATGCCTACCACTTTGCCTGGCGCGCCACGGACATACTTCGGCGGCAAGACGGATTCTGTCAGGATGACCTCCATGCCAACGAAGAGCGGCAGCAGCCCCGGCATTTTTGCGGTAGCGCCGACGCACTCAGGCTGCAGCTGGCGCATGCTCAGTCGAAATCAGGCTTCGCGAGGCGCGCAGCTGGTCTGTCGATTGCTTGGGACGTAAAAGAGCAGCTGGCCAGCATCGTGCGCATCAAGCTTGGCCTGTGCATGCATGGCGTAAGAGACGATGCGCCACTCATAGGCCGACTCGTACCAGCCTCGTGCTGCACGCAACCGAGGGTCCCACTGAGGTGGCTGAGCGGCTTGCTGCTGCTGCTAGAGCACGCTAGAGGCTGACCAGCACCTGGAGCTATGGGTCTAACTGACCATCTGACGTTTTCGACGCCCGCGTTAGGCGCCAGCAGGGAAGCGGTGGCGGGGACTGGCGGCAACTGGTAGAAGTCTCCGCACAAGATCTTCACAGGCATGCGTCCCCATGTCTCCTGCGGGCGCATGTACTTCGTGGGGTCCCCTGCCGTAGGTCGTGCGCAGTGCATCTGCATGCAGCAAAGGCCCCGGCACAGCACCCAGCTCATCGATCACGTCGACGCCGAGTGTGCCTGTGAGGCGATCCAGCTTTTTCTGCGTCTGTGGGGTCAGGCGCAGCCTGGCTGTCTGCATGGAATCCGACATGAGCAGGCCCTTGGAGGAATGCATGGTCCTGCCGCGCGGGCCGAGGTTGTGTGCGGCGTGGTTGGACTGCGCTTTGCCGAGGTACCCCTGCTCGCCGAAGTAAGTGATGGCCATCGGCTCCACCACTTTTGAGAGGGTGCGCGTCTTGCCGACACCGCCTCCACCGAGCCAGATCGCTCTGTGGTTGCCTGTCGCGGACGCCACGGGGAGGAGATGCGTTGTCTTGTCTGGTCTGCCGTCAAATCGTTTCTGCAGAGACAACGCAAACAACGCCACCGCGTCAATCTGCTCCTCCGTGCAGTGGGCATCAGCGACGAGCTTCCACGCAACAGCCGCCGGGCCCTGCATGGCCAAGAGCTGCGGAACGAGTTCTGGTTGGGCGTCCTCGGCAGCAGGCTGAGGAGCACCGCTGGGGAGCCAGTCGTCCGCGGCATCGGGCAAGATCTCTCCATCCGGGCTCGCTTGCTTCTTTTGGAGCGCAATGCTTTGCCGCTGTAGGGCGAGCATGTCAGAAAAGGTCTCGTCCAGCCGCGTGCCCTGATGTTCCCGCGCGCCGCTGCTGGCTGGGAGTGCAAAGCTTGGCTGCAGCATGCCGCTGTACGCTCGGTCGAGATTCTTCAACTGCTTATCGGCGTAGCTGAGGCGGCCCTTCTGGTCCGAGCGCTGCAGTTGGTCTTGCTGTAGGGCCAGCTCGGTTGCTCTGACGTGGTCCCGCAGCGGAAACCGGGAGATCTCGGTAATCTCGGCGTCCTCCACGTCCTCCTCTACGTCGCTGCCGCCGCCTCCACCCACGTCAACGAGCTCCAGCGGGACTCGCCCCTTGAGCCCTTCGGCATCGCTCGCGGAGTCTTCATCCGCCTCGAGGTGTGCAG